GTCTCGGGTGTGGCGCCCATGAGCTGGAGTGTGCGGGTGGCCGACTGCAGCCACCGAGACACGCGTATGCCAGTACCGTCATACAAGGCAATGTCCGACAAGCGGATGAGTGGTGCGTCACCATAGTGGCGGTGAGGGGATCGAGGAGCGGAGGCCTATGCCACGGCAGAGTAAGTCGGCGCAGGTCCTGGAGAAAGGGGCACAGCTGACTGTGCGCCCGGGCCGCATAAGGGAGCGGCGGTGGCAATAGCGGCAGGCTGCGAGGATACTGCGGTAGAAGAGGTCGCAGCAACCGCGGGAGTAGGAAGAAGGTAGGTAAGAAGTTGTATAGGGTGCAGGGCGTGGAAAGCGAGCCTGCATGGGAGGAAGGGTAGAGGAGGCAGGGGGTGGGCCCGAAGGCGCGGCCACCTGTGAGGGTGGGGGTGGTTGAAGGCGTAAGAGGGCGAGGTTGGCCCGGAGCTGGGAAATGTCGTCCTCGAGACCTCGAACGTAGGTCGTGCGAGGGGTAGCAGGGGGAAGAGTGGAGGAAGTGGATGCACAAGCGACGCGGGGCATCCCTGAGGGGGGAGAGCCAGGTGGCGTTGCGGTCGTGCGAAGGGGGGGGAGGAGCGGGGCACCCGAAAACGGTGAGACCATGGTAACGGGTTGTGGTCCCGTGGCCGTCGTAACCGAAATTTGGGCCGGTGCGCTCGTAGACTGAGGAAGGGCCTGACTCGTGACGGCCGTCGAGCTAAGGGCGTGGACGGTCACCAAAATGGCCAGGTCGGGGGCGACAGAGGAGGAAACTCCGCCGTGGCCACCCTGTCGGAGAACTGGGGATCCGGACTGAGAGCCAGGAGAAGAGAGAGGATGAGGAGAGGAAGGACGACCAGCGTCCTGGAGTTGCTGCACGCCGGCGGCAAGGGCCGCCACCTGCGCCTGTAGGGGCCCGAGGGTCGCAGGTTGCGCCTGGATGGGCGCGAGGAGGAAGGTGAGGAGGGTGTGTAGATCCCCCTGGGGCTGATGGCCCTGGTCCGCCGGCACGGGTGTGGAGCCCGATGCCGTGGTCATCGCCGTGTCGAAGGCGTGTGACGCACCGTCGGCCATGGGGAGATGACGGACCGGACTGGAGGGGGTCAGAAGAGGTCCGCGTGAGCGGAGGGTGTAGGGGGAAGTCCGCGGTAGAAAGCGGCGAACGACGCTAGCAAGGCTAGCACGGGCGTCGTCAAAGGGGGAGGGGTGGTTCGGGTCCAGGGTGCCCGAAGAGGACGGGGAAGGATGGGGGGTTTTGAGGAACCCTAAACCCCACAAAAACCCTAAGAAAACCCTAACCGAGGTTTAAGGCTAGGGTAGGGTACCGGTGACCTAATCAAGAAAGTAAAATAGCAAGCATAAGGGGGGGGGGAGACGAGAGAAAAATGAATAAACAGTGATATTTCGAGAGGAAATAA